GTCAGCAGTTCAAAACGACCATCTTTCCTGTCCTGTATGGTCACTATGAGTCAGAATTTACTCAATGGCAGGCAGGTTGTTTGTTTTGTTTTAGAGGGCAATCTTCGAATCATTCTGTCTTCCTTCTGCTTTGTCATATGTACATCTTTCTATTCTACTTTCTGAAAGATTTCCTCAATTTTATCTAAATCTTCTCTTGAATACTTAATTTATGATTTTTAATAATTCAATTTCTAAATTCCGTGTTTCCAAATTTTCTGTTTTATTTTATTTTTAAATTCTCTTACCCCTACTTGTTCTATGTCTTCCAAGCTGATTGTTGTTGGATTTTTTTTAAATTAAATTTATTTTCCATTTGATTTCTTACTTTCGTAGATAAGGTTTTTCTTGCATTTTTTTTTATAATCTTTGGTTTTCTGCTCAAGTTTAAAAGTGGTAGCTAAAATTCTAGTTGGAAGTTTCCAGAACCTATCCAAAATGTATGTGCATTCTGTTGCTCTAGGACAGTGGTTCTCAACCACTGGGTCGTGACCTCTTTGGAGGTCGAATGACCCTTTCACAGGGGTCGCCTAAGACCATCAGAAAACACATATTTCCAATGGTCTTAGGAACTGAGACACCGCTCCTCTATCTGTCTCCAGGTGGGTCCATCCACATGCAGATACACCCACAGATGAGTACCTGGTGTGAAGGCTGTTACCCACGCTACACCATGCTTCAAGACAAAATTTCATTTATTTCTCCTTAGAAATACGTATTTCACAATATATAATTACATATTGTTTTGATGATTAATCACTATGCTTTAATTATGTTCAATTTGTAACAATGAAAATACATCCCGCATATCAGATATTTACATTATAATTCATAACAGTAGCAAAATTACAGTTATGAAAAATCAATGAAAATAATTTTATGGTTGGGGGTCCTCACAGCATGAGGAACTGTATCAAAGGGTGGCGGCATGAGGAAGGCTGAGAACCACTGCTCTAGGGTGATCTGGTTAGGGAATGTGATTTCAGTCCTCTCCTCCCACCCACGTAAGGAGACAGATGTGATGCACCCTTGGAAGTAAGTTGGGATTTAGGACAGGAAGGGCTCAGTATTTACCCTGCACACTCACTTAGTTCTCTCTCTATTTAAAAAAATTTTTTTTCAGCATGGCCACCTTTCACTGGGCTGGTATGCTTTAGTGCAGTCACCTTCTGTTCTACCCTCTCCAAAAAACAAAGCCTTCATCTTTTGCCCCAGTGAGGGTGAGGCTGTTGCCGATTCATGCGGAAGCCGGCACAGGACGGGCAGCCTGCTGTTCCCGAGTCGCAGTCGCTCCTCCTGTCCAGTCAGTCCTGAAGAGCCTGTGCCACTGTTTCCTGAGCAAAGGTGGAAGTTTCTGCAAATGTGAATGGGGGCCGTGTCCAGATCTCCCCACCGTTGGCTCAGAATTTGGCTTCCTTGAGCTCCTGCTAAGCCCTTAGTATTCATCCAACCACTTCCCAGCTTCCAGAATTTGATTCCTCTCACTTCTTGCCTGTTCCCTTAGCCTTATGAGTTTGTTCCTTTTGTGAAAAAGACCAGATGAAACGTGTAGGGAGGGAGCAAAAGTAGCTGTATGGGGGCAAAGCTCTCTCCTTCTCCAGAAACCTTAGTTCTAAGGCAGTTTATCCTAGCCACTGGCAGCCTCCTGCTCCTCAATAAAATAGACTTTCTTAAAACTAATTCCTAAGAGCTTCTGTGGTGGGTTCAAGTTGCTACAAGTTGTCTATCTTCCCGTACTTTAGCACTAATAGTCCCTGTACACCTGACTGATCCAGTTGACTTTGGTTCTAGTGTTACTTAAAGGGATTTAAGAACGCCTCATTTCACCTTATTGTTCTTAATTCTGTTCTTCTTCAGTGATCTCTATTATTTCATGCCTATTAGGAGCCAATAATTTATTTTAAAACAGAACGATACAGAATCTCTGCTCAGTGAGCTGTTGATCTTAAATTAGTGGGTAGTAATTTCTGTTAATTGGCTGAATCCACTATTCCAGTCAAGCTGCCTTCATTTCATTAACTTTGTAGCTCTGCTTAGGGTCATATCACTTGTTAAGACAAGTTAGCTGTTACCTTTTGCATGTTAGTACAAATGTTTCATGTATTTGTATTAACACGTAAATTGAACGTTGGCCCGTAGCCAGAATTTTCCCTCACGCCCTCACACAAACCTAGTGTGAAGTAAAAAGCTTTGCCAACTATGTTCTGCTTTGAGCCATTTCCTGATTACAGTTGATTTTTTTTTTTTAAGTAGCTGTATTAATTGTAGAGCATAGTGCCATGCCCTTAAGACATTGTTTTGACTGTAGCATTTGAAAGTTGGAAGTCCAGTGAAACTATCAGGAAGAGGCAAGGTGTGCAAGGGTGTTGGGGCCTCCTACCCATAGGTGCTAAAGTCTCACTAAAGCCCGCAAGTGAGAAAGTCCATCCGTTAGCCTTATCCCATTTCAGCCAGTGTTACAAACCCCACAGTTCACATGTGACTGCTATAGCAATCAGGAGAACCTGTAGCAGCCATTCATACGCCAGCACAAAATCTTGCTATGCAGTCAACCCATTGCTATAAACAGGAACTCACGCTTCTCTTTGCTGAGTGGAGTTAAGCCAACAACCTCGTCAGCTAAAACCAAAGTGGGCAGCATCTGGCCTGTGGGCCAGGTCCCACCTAAACAAATCCACTGTGATCAAGTCAGCGTACTATGCAGGGTTTCCAAGGTTGTAAATCTTTATAGGAGCGCACAATCCCATCTTTCTCCCACAGAGCAGCTAGCTGGTGGCTTCAAACTGCTGACCTTGCCATTAGAAGCTCAACAAGTAACCACTACACCACCGGGCTCCAGACAATATACAAGTCATGGAAAAATGACCGGTTTTGCAGTTTTATATTGTTCAGCCTATGATGCTACAGGAACCTCTGTGTGGAGGTGGTCTTCCCTTTAGCTTGAAGCCCAACAAGAACCCCATGTTTCATTGAGGCGCCCCCTGGGGTATTTGGTTTGCACGCTTGCTTGCTTGTTTCCTGCCTGTGTTTTGTATGATTCTCTGTATATGAAATGCAGGATCTATGGAGACAGTAACTGAATTGATAATTGCCTAGGGGCATGGCAGGGGAGGATGGAGGCAAATGCAAAGCTAACAGCAATGAGTATGAAAAGAAAATGTCCTGAAATTGATTGTGGTGATAATTGCACAAATCTTCTTAATATAGTTGAACTTGAATGATTAAATTGTATGACATATGAAATAGATGCCATTAAAACAATTTAAATAAATTCTAATTCACTACCCAACCTAGGGAAGAAAGTGGATGAGGTAGAGAGCAAAGGGAGAAGTGAAACGGAACAGCAGGTGCATGGGGCTCAGACGCTTTTCTGTATCTTGCTGTGTCGATGTGAAAATTTTCACCATAAAAAGTTAAAATTAAAAATCAATAAAGAAAGCTATGACCCCACTGCCATCCAGACAGTAAGTGAGGAGGACAGATGTTTGGATGACTAAGCAGAAATGAAGCTGTTGGGCCAGTTCATTATTCTGACGCCCATCCTGCATCCAAAATACCAGGTCTGGGCCCTTCCAGAGGCTTCCCTGAATCACCTGGTCAAGTAAACTAACTGAACTTCAATTTCTCTCATTTGCACCCACTCTGACCCCAATGCACGAGACACACAGCATTTTCCTGTTCACATAGGATCCCCTCCCAGCTGATGAACGCACGCTCTTTCGGAGAATAACAAGCATGGAAGTCCAACATAAGTCATAATTTTATTTTTCTGTTTGCTGTTAGCTTCGTTTGTATAGAATAAGTGAACCAACTTATATCTAGTTTTGTCAGTTGGATGTTAGATTGTAGACATTCAAAGGTCAGCAGGGTTTAGTCCTACGGAAAGGAGAACCTCAAATGGGCAAAGTGCAGCCACTGGGAGGCGCTAGTCTTGAAGGCCCTGTGCTCTCTTACAGGGCCCAGCAGGGACCTTAGAGGCTGGAATGAGCCCCTCACTGCTGTAAAAGGTGGCTGCTTAGCAGGGGAACGCAAGGCGAGCCAATGCAGCAGCAGAGGCATCACGTGCGAATGCGCTCCCTGGTAGAAGGAAGCAAACCAGTAAGTGTTGTGCCTCTTGGAGGTTTAAGTCATCTGAGGTTTATTTATTAAGGAAGCATACCAGTAAGTGTTGTGCCTCTTGGAGGTTTAAGTCATCTGAGGTTTATTTACGGGACCCACAGCAGATGGGGATAGAGGGAGGCAACTTAAATGTAATGCAGGGACAAATGGATTAATGAGGATGGTAAACTTACTCCACAATGAGATGCATTAAATCAACACGAAATAAGCCTAAAACTCAGGAGCTCTGGTGGCACAACCATATAAGCATTGGGCTACTAAAGGCAAGGTTGGCAGTGCAAAACCATCAACTGCTGCACAGCAGAGGGATGCGGCTGTCTGCTCCTGCAAGTTTACATTCTCAGAAACCCTTTGTCGGGTCACTGTTGGGCAGAATCAACTCGGCAATAAGTTTGGGGTTGGTCTTTTTTTGTGTGTGTGTGTGGGGGGGGGGGGGTTGTCCCTAAAGCTACAAAAGGAAGAGAAGGCATAAAAAGGAGAGAACAGAATACATTAATTCATAATAATTGACTTTATCAAGAATAGTAGAAAGAGGTGTGAAATCTTTGAAATCTCTGAAAATTGTACAATCTCTTTTTCTAGCAAGTCTAATCGGTTCATTTTAACATCTAACGTCTAACCTCATCACAGGTTTTCGGGCCAGTTTAAAAACTCTTTCTCAGCAGACCCAGAGCGGCTGTGGAAGGCACTTCTCTCCTAGCCCGGCTCGCTGACCGCCTGTGCCCCTGCTGGTTCACGATGACTTAATTCGCTCTTGCATTAAGGCTGAGCCTTCCTGAGAAATGGAAGCAAGGCCAAATGTGCCAGGGCAATTAGGAGCTGATTGTTTATCTTCTTTACAGGTGGGAAGGAAAGAATGAAAATGAAGTGGGCAGATGTAAAGAGACCGACAAGATCCATGTGACTGTAGACCTCAAATACTACCGACCCACCGAAGTGGTAAGCAGCCTCTCCCAAGCCACCACATCACCCACCAGGAGTCACAGCCAGAGCCGGCTGTATCAGCTGGCCGGCTTGGAGATGGGCGTGGAATGCCTGCTGCCAACCTGCCGCATTCCCATTTGGCTCACTGGCATTCTTCAGCAGGCATTTCCCAAACCGTCCCGCAGTGGATTGAACTGGGAATAATATGCTAACCACAAAAGCCATTGCTCTATAAAGGAAAACAAGAGTAGAACACACCCAAAGAAATAGTTGAGCTCAGAACTGGAGACTCCTGTCCAAGGCAGATCTCATCATGTTGAGCTCAGTTCTCATGAGCGACCTGTGTGTGGGGTCTCCTAGGTCCAGCCTGGCCACCTTTCCAGGGGCCTGTCCATCTCTCCAGATCGTATGCACTCATGCCCAGTCACATCTGCCACCCCAGTGTCCCAAATACATCAAGATATGTCTTCTTCTGCATGAGTGCCCTCTAATCCCCACCTCTCCTGCCCTGTACCTGGGGGCCTAGACTCACTCTTCATTGTGTAAGGCTTAAGTCAGTTGCCGTCCTTGCCCTGAAGCCTTACCTGAGCAATCTAACTCTAGCCCTGAAATTTTGACTCCTTTCTTGGTATCTACATTGCATGCTGTATACGATTCTAGTATAACACCGAGTATAAATTATTCTATTATTAAATATTATGCTATTTACCAACTGGGAATTTTTGAGAATAGGGACTTTTAATATTAATATCATAGATGATAACAAAGTAAGTACTTGATGAGTATTGAATGGATGAATAAGCTTCTAAATATGGAAATTCCTGAACTAAGGAATGACCTATTTAGCTGGTTAGAATATAACATCTACCTTCCTAAATTTATAACGAACTCTATCTCTGTTCCATAGCTTTAACATGGGCTGCTCTCAGTATGGTGGCAAAACTCAACATGCATTTCTGGTGATATTAGAAAGTAACATCTCCAGAGAGAAATGTCCAAACACAGTGATTATCTATAAGACACGTACCAAACATGAAAAGAGAATCTTTCTAAACGTGTTTTACCTGTGATGTGAACAAATTTTATCTGGAACATAACAGTTCTGAGATTGAGCAAACTCGATGGTGAGCGCTGGGAGATGAATGTAAGTCGCTACTAGTCAGCCCGTAAAGTGTCCTGTTTCCAACAAAAGGAAGAAAACAGCTTTGTCTGTGGACTCTCAAACAGAAGAAGTAAAGAGGAAAAGAAACAAGCAGTTCTTGGGAGACAGGGGTGTAGTCAGTACATTATCCTGGCAGAGGGAGTGGCCCAGGTCTCTGACAACAGCAAACCATTGTTCCCAGTTCTCCTGGGGAGTGGGTGTGCTGGGAAGGTTGTATTCCACTTCCAGGGAGATACCAGACCCTTCTTGCTGATTCATCGAGGGTGGCACAGCCCCTGGTCCATTGGCACTAATTTCTCTGATGTAAGGAGTTGTTGCTTTTCTGGGAAGATCACTAGACACTATGCACACATGGGGCACATGGGTTTGTGTGCTCAGAAATATAAATGGTTATCTCAAAGTGGAAAATGTGGTGAGTCAGCAGATACTCCAGTGCTCCGATAATTCAAATGTGGCTTTTTCTCTGACAGTTTCAAAGGCTAGGAAGGTGTTAGTTATGGCCGGCCAGTCACTCCTACTTAGGCAAGGTACAGGATTGATATGGATGCAAAGCATATGTAGTTGCTGAACAGCAAAGTTCTCTTGGATGGACAAGACTTGCTCTTGAGGTTCACACGGATCTTCGTTCCTGCCGTGGCATTGCCTCCCTCCCAAAGGTTTTGTTCATTCAAAGGCTATCCTCAAGCCTGCAAATCTGTTGACACAAAAGTCTGAACCCAAACAATGGTGTCACTAAGGCAATGGTGTTCAGGCGATGGGCCCCCCCCGCCGCCACATCAGTGACAGTGTTACAGGGGCAACAGCACAGCGAATGGCTACAAAATGCCTGTGTTGTGTTTCAGCAGAAATGTATTCTTTTTATAAACATATTCCTGTACATAGTGATAACAAAACATTTTTCATAAGGTCTGCTTACTGTGACCTTAAAGGCAAAAACGATGCTTTAAACTTTCAAATCTGTTCTAGCCAGAGCGCTCCTTATTGCCCTGACACTGATGCGTCCGATCTCGTGGGTACTCAGCACCCACTGCAAGCACGTGCTGCTGTTTTCGTCGCTTTTTCTAAAGTTGCTGGTTTGGTCAAATGTTCTGATGTTTAAGCTACAATCTAGTGGTAGGTAGTTACAGTTGTGAATTTGTATCAGGAACATTTTTGAGAGTGAGTTAGTAACCTAAGGAAAAGGAGAAATCTCCAAAAAAAGGCTCAGATACGACTAATGTAACAAATCATGTTGTAATTTATGGTAGAAAGCTTTCATCAGATAACTTTGTTATTAGTATTCATATCATTTAAGGAAAAATTCGTATCGGCAATTTACAACTGTATTTATCACACATTGTTCTATGACTAAACTTAATAGTAAACCTTACTAAGAATCCTGTATGATCTTGTCAGGGAGGAGTTCCACAAGGTGGAGGGGACAGCAGTCCTTGGGAAGCCCCGAACCTGAGGACAGCCCTGTTTCATGTGGATTTTCTACTGCCCCGACTCTCCCGCCCTGTTCCTTCTGCTTCTGGTTTGGGTCTTTTTTCACTCTGACCTGCATTTCTTCTTCCCATGCCTCCAGGCCGCATTCGCTTTCTTCACCCCTCTTCCATTTTCTATTTCACTTTGTGCACTCTTCCTGTATACTGAGAATAAACCTTTAACCTCCTCTCCTAGAACAACAAGTCTTCCTCAAACTTGGATCAACCTGACAGCCTTCTGTTGAATCGCCTCTGGGGTGACAACATTCTTCCTGTGGGAAGTGGCAGGAACTGAAGCCTGCTTTGCGAGGAGCTTCCCCTTGGGCGTGGGGCGGCCACGGCCAGCAGCACCAGAGCTGCATTCTGTCAGAGGCCTGGAAATCAAGGAGGGAGGCAGGGCTTCTCCCATGTGTGAGGCTCATTGTCTGCGTGCTTCTTGTACATGCAGAGCGTTGACACTGCAGCTGCAATGGGCTTAAGCATAAGAAAAATGGTGAGGGGGCCCAGGACTGGGGACTGTCCCTAGGGTCGCTCTGCGCCGGAACCTACTCATCGACACTTAACCACAACAAGAGTGGATGGAAGCGTGTGTCCTGATTAGAGTCCGTCAGCATTGGTCCAGCATGTAAGGACACTCTGAGCCCGGAGCATAAATGAGTCCTTCTTAGAGTTAGGGGGACCTAGAAGGACTGATAGGGAAGAAAAGACCATGAAGAAACCTGGGGGAGAGCTATTAATTAGAACATACACTTGTCCCCTGGTATCCACAGGGAATGAGAAGTCATCCTCCCACACTGGTGCTCATGTATTTTAAATAAAATAATATCATATTTGCCTATAAGCTATGTGCATCCTCCCATATACTTTATCTCTTGATTATCTTTAACATCTAACACAATGTAACCAGAAACCAAATCTACTGTCTAAATGCCCTTGTGAGTTTCCAAGAAACTCAGAAAGCCCCATCCTTCTCCCACATAGCAGCTGGTGGTTTTGAACTACTGATCTTACACTTAGCGACCCAATGCATAACCACTAAAGCACCAGGGCTCCTGATGCAACATAAATGTTGTATAAATAACACTTTATGCTCCTCCGTACCTTCAAGGGATGCTTTAATCAGTTGTTCCCCCTCCCCAAAATTTTCCACCTATAGTTGGTTGAATGTGCTCTTGTGGGAGCTGAAGATGCAGCGGCAACATAAATATCCTAAAATGGGAACTAGAACTTTCTGTGTTGTCTTCTGAGTAAGAAAGACTATCAAATCATAAGGAAGGCACTTTCTCAGCAAAAATCAGCACTATCCTAAAAGAGGCCACCTGTGATTCTGTGTGAAGTATGTATCAACATGTGCTGGAAATCTTTTCCCTCATTGCTTTAGCCACTATAAACCTTGACTCTTGCTTCTGAAAAGTCTTGAAAAACCAACGTGAAAAATTCAGACCTAAGGATTCGACCACCTAGTAGAGCTAAAGGAAGCCACATTTTGTTGTTGCCCTCTGCCTGTAAACCCCAGAGTCCCGTTTGAAAGGTGAGGCGTGTTGCCACTGTAGAGGAGAAGAGTGTGATCCTGGAAATTAGACTTTAAATTACCCACTGTCCTGAATCCCATTTCAGGACCATGCCTATAATAATATTTTAATTCTATGTCTCTTAAAATGTCAGCCTTGGGTATAGTTGTATTTGTGTGCATGCATTTGCTTATAAATTCATTACATCATTCATTCATGGAGGGAAAGTAGCAGTGTGCTTAAGACTGTGTAGTGTCAACTGCTAGCTGTGTGGCCTTAGACAAGTTACTTTTTTATTTGATGTCATTGTTCAAATGAGCCCTGATGGCATAGGGGTTATGCATTGGGCTGCTAACGGCAAGGACAGCAGTTTGAAACCACTAGCAACTCTTTGGGAGAAGGATGAGGCTTTCTACCTCTATACAGAGTTAACCGTCTCGGAAATCCACGGTGGCAGTACTACCCTGTTCTATAGAGCCCCGATGCGTCGGCATTGACTGGGTGGCAGAGGGTTTGGTTTGGTTTCTTACGCTGGCCTTAGTAAGAGTCACCGTGATTGAAAGGGACTCGACTGCTGTAATTTTCTGGTAGCGCTACTCTCAACGAAGTGATGGAGAACTGGTGGAGTGGGTGAATACAAAGTGTTTATTTCCATGCCTGGCATATTGTTGTTGTTGATTGCCACATCAACTCAATTCCCAATCACAACGGCTTTATGTGCAGCATGTGAGAGTGTTGCATCGCCTGCTCCATCGTCATGATTGATGGTGTGGCTGGGTCCACACAGTGAGCACCCAATGTTGTTGCTGTTGTGAATGTTGACTTGCTCACTGTCCAAATACGAGAGAGCTTTCAAAAGTTCACAGAGAAATGACA